GGGGGGAAGCAGCTCGTCCGAGGGATGCGGGGAAGGGGGCAGAGGAAGCGTGTTGGCGCGAGTATCTAACGGCTGTGTTTGTAGTGTGTGCCCTCCCCGCTGCTCGCACACGCCGGCGTGACGAACCTGATCGCCCGCGCGCCCGTCCTGTTCGCAATCACACACACTGTAAAAAAAAAAACACTTTTTACAATATATACTTATTTGTGACTAAAAATACATTGCACGTCTCTTGTAAAATATATGTCAAGTGATGACATAATTGTCAACAGCATTTCTTAATGTCAAAGCAATTGTGCACAGTGACAAGATTTTTCAGAGATTTGACACAAGTTTCGTCAATTTGATAACAGCTATATCCAAAATGATCGAATTTTGATTAAAATCGGACAAAGTTACTGTCAGAAAAAAAAGGACAGATTATTCATGATTTTTTTTACAAAATTTGCACGATCTTCAATTATGCGGACGATTTTTGTCAAATAACAGTTAAAACTTTTACAGTGCGCGTGCCAATTGTGTCCGACACGTTTCTTATACCTCGTCCCTCCATTGGTAAAACAAGTGTGCATAATTTTATGATTTTAAACATTATGGTGTTTAACTCAAGTTGCACACTTTGCGTGGTGTGCACACACTAAATGGCGAGGGACAATTTTTGTACGTAGGCTGGATGTGTCTTTGAGCACATCTGAACCAAATGCAAATTTGCATCCAAGTCACATACAAAATATAGCATTTGTTCCTAGCCTAGGTACACTTTGTACCTCTGTACAGACAAATTTGTATCTGATGAAGATGTGCTCAAAGACACATCTAACTAAGGTACAAAAATTGTCCCTCCCCATTTAGAGTGCAATTGTAAACGTTTTGTAAACGTTTAAATTCTGCACACTTGGACACACACAAATCTTTAGGAACCATGGTGTGCAGCTGCTATACATTTCGGAAGTGTCGAAAGTTAAAAAAACTATTGACACGTTTAACCTAATAAGACACTAGAATGTGTTGAGAAACTGCACACTTGAACTTTAACACCAATTGACGTGCCACATTAAACACTTGTTTAATCAGTGTCGCCCCTCTCTCGCCCGTCTCTCGTCCCTCTCTCGTCCCTCTCTCGCCCCTCTCTCGTCCCTCTCTTCTCGCCCCTCTCCCTTCTCCTTTCACTGGTCCGGCTTGCAGGTGCGCACGGTGGGGCCCCCTAGGCTCCCATAAGGATGCCGCCATAGGGAAGCCCGCCCGCCGCCAGGGCCGCCCACCCGCACCCATCCTGTCACGACTTTTATTATGCCGAGCTACAATAACGAGAGTCTATAAACCGCGCTGTATTTTTATAGGAAAATCTGGTCATGATTTCGTAAGCGTAGTTTGCCCTTTTTAAAGGCGTCGTTGATCATTGGACATCTACATTATGTGCATTAAACTTGTCTCCGTTTTTTTTTTTTTTTGCCAGCGGAATGTGTTGGGTCCCAGAGTAGGGCGTCAACAGCACGCGATGCCTCTCCGTGGCCACACAGCCACGCGTATATGTGGGAACCGACACACACACTTGCACGCACGCGCACGCTTACACTCGCGCGCACACCCACACCCACGCACGCACGTACACACACTCGTACGGACACACGGCAAGTAGTGCATGGCCGATACCGTGATGCAACAAAAGGGTATCACGAGACGCAGCGTGACGGGCGCTACAGGGTGCTCCAGGGGGGTGCGCAGCGTGACGGGCGCCGGGCGCTACAGGGTGCTCCGGGGGTGCGGCGCCAGTACACAGTACAGGGCGGGCCACGGCCAACGGCAGAGGAAGGAAGCGCAGGGCGCGGTCCAGGAGGCGCGGGCGCAGCGGGAGGATGGCCAGCTCGGAACCATTACGCATGGCATTGTGCGGAGCGGGATGCGATGCGCGATCTGGGAAAGCCGACTTTACATGGCCTCCCTGGTGCACACTTCTCCTGCGGTGGGATTAACTTAAAAGTAAGTTTTGTGGGACGTTTTTTGAAACTTTTTCGTGTGTGAGGTGTTCACCACTTTAATTGCTGGCACCCGAAAGCTTCTACCACAGCCTCTTTATTAACATATCGAACTGTGATACAATTCACAATTGCCTACTTCCTTTTTCCTCTGGTTATCTTTTCAGCAATTTTCATTAATTTGTAACACACACATGACTGAAATTTTATCCTGTCAAATTACTGGAACGACGAATAGTAAAACTCAAAATCTGTGCTTGGCTTATCACTTTGATTGACACTTGCCTCTCCAAACGGTGTGGCTGCAAGTCTACAGGCGCTAGGACTTCCCCGCTAAATCCACTCATGTTACACCCGACACCCAGAAAAATGGTTTCTTGTTTCAAGTAAATTTTTCCTTGTTTCAAGTGCACGCTGACGCTGACTCAAGATCAAATTTTCTCTTGAAACAAGTTGGTATTTTCTTTCGAATAGTAGAAAAATCTTATTGCCAAAGACAAAACTGCCTTGTTTCAATGGCGAATTTCATCTTGTGTCAGCTTGCACTTGAATCAACAAACGATTTTTTTTCTGGGTGTAGCTGTTTGTTTTTGACGATGGACTAGCGGGCGTCCATAGTACTGACCCCGACCTCTCGCCCCTCTCTCTCTTCCCCTCTCCAGCCTAACCTACTCACACTCAAACACGCACAAAGTGAGGATGTTGTCGGTACTTTCGCCTAAATCCGGCCGGATGCAGACGAGTCTTACCCAACGCCACCCATCCCTTATCGCCTGCCCCCCACCCCCCTCTCTCTCTCTCTCTCTCTCTCTCTCTCTCTCTCTCTCTCTCTCTCTCTCTCTCTCTCTCTCTCTCCACCCCTCCCCCGTCGCGGTCAAGCGTTTGCACAGCGAATAGTTGCACAATTTTTCACAGTTTGCATTATCAGTTCTCATACACACAGAAAATGGTATCCTCAAACCAAGGAATTTTCTTTTCAAAAAATACAAGGTGATTTTTCGACCTTGGTTTAAGGTTTTTCCATAAATTTCAAGGAAATTAGGTTGAACTAAGGAAATTTTAACTTTATTTTAAGATCAATTGCCTTAAGTTAAAGACAATTTTCCTTGTTTTTTTTGAGGTAAAAATAGCGTTGAAGCAACGCATTTCGCCTTGTTCCAAGACTACCATTTTCTGGGTGTATCATTCATCATTAGATAACAGACTGTGTTATTCGCATGAGTTTGGTATTCAACTAATCAAAATTGTTTCCTTCCTGTTTCCCTGCTCTCCTCTATTGCAATACCTAAAATATATCTCCTGCTTAAATCCTTTTGAATAAAATAATATGGTTATGGATCACACACAAAATTCTTACGCTCTATAACGTGTCGGGTATCGGGGGTGTCGTAAATGTAGGATTAACGAGGATATTTTTCACTGTGAACATCCTCTCTAATGACTAGATCAGCGAAATTCTTTCCGCTTCTTAAACTTATTGCAACCGCGCATCCTGTGCATATCTCTTTCGCTCGCGATTTGTGTCGCTCCTGTTGTGTCACTCCATCTGCATTTGATGTTTTATTGCGGGACCATCCTCACTATTAATCGAAAGCATCGCGCCGAGAGTGTTCGCATCAAAGAAGCGAGGCACGTTCATCGTCCTAGTTTTTTCCTAGATAGGACCCACGTATCTATTTTATTGCTCCAATTGCGTGACTTAAATTAACGGTTTTGGTTTTTCTATCCTGTACGGTGTGTGCGATGCTGGAATCAAATATTTTCTATCGCTTTGCCATCTATCGCTATAAAGCCGACTGAAGCCACCCCAGCCTCACCTGTAGTTAATCCGCGAAGCGTGTCGAATAGACGTTGTGGTAATCCATGTAAAATCCCTTAATTCGCTTGGCACCTCTTCACCGTATGGCAAACACACATACACACAAATTCTCACTAATGCACAAAAATGATCACAACAAACCACGATAAGAAAAAAATAAAATTGTATCACTCTGGCAGAAACACACAACTGACAAAACACATGACTCTATAGACACGCACTGCACTGCACTGCACTGCACTGCACTCCCGACTGAGGTCCGCATGCGACTGACTGGGGGTTGTCCGCGCGCACGTGCAGCGCCCGCCCCGCTCGGCGCTACGCTACGCCACGCTCCCGCCCCTCCACGCCGGCCCCCACGTGCGCCCCCCCACTCACCCCGCCGCGGCCCGGTGCGCCGCGGTGGCGCTGACGGCGCTGACGGTGACGACGGCGTTCTCCGGGGCCAGGGCCGACCGGCGGCTCCGGGCACATCCGAGGAAACGGAAGCCCGCAGGCTCAAAGGCGGGAAGTACATTTTTGCCTCCTACGCCCGGTCTCTCGGTGGATACGAGGTGATAGGGTCCTGTTCGCAAATTCTCCAACAAAGTGTGACAGATTTGAGTTGACAGTAAACTACTTGCACATCGGCGCACGAAATATACGTCAGGAGTATCACCTCCACTACCGTCTGGGCTCTTTGCTTACGGCACGGTTTTCACACCTCATTTGATAACCAAGTGCTATCTTTGCTTTTTATCCCCTGTGGGGCATTTTGTTGGTCACATTTTAGTGGTGCCTCCCCCCCCTCTTTTCCTCGAGTAATAATTTTGATT